ATTGCATTGTGTTTTACGGTTAACAGAAATGTCTGTAAAATTAATGGATAATGTCCAGGCAGAAAATTGCCAGTATATTTTCCTTTATTTTTTTCTACACTTTTATAAGTGTAATACATTATACATAAAGGCTTCCCCTTAACTGTCACTCACATTTTTGAACATAGACGTGAAAGTGTACGATCCAAACTTAGATTTTTATAATTCATGAACAAAAACATTTTGAAACGCACTGTTTTGAACCAAGGCAGTTGGGAGTCTTTGCTATTATGTAGTAAAAATAAAGATATACCATCTTGTCAGAAACTCTTTATGGCTGTCGTTCTGACAATTATTGGGCCACTAGAGTACATCGTTTCCATAGTTACCTTGCACTCCTGTTCACCTGAGGGATTGTAATCAAGGTACTGTCCCGACCAGTGTTATTTTATTTCTATACTATTATTGTTTGCATTAATATTTTGAATTAGTTTGTATAGTTTCAGTTTTAATTTTAATTTCAGTTTTTGATATTTTATTAGTGTTTCTTTTTTTATTTAGCTTTAATTTATTGGTAATTCTTTACTGCATGCATTATAATGCATTACGTAGGTATTCATAATTATAGGCATTATATCTTTTCATGAACAATTGTAACCAAATGCATAAAAGCAACTGTAATATTAATGCAATTAAAATGCATTATACTATTGGCAGATTCCTTTTTACATCTCAGATTGGTTGCTGCGTTTTAATACATTACACTTTTTAAAGGTGTAATAAAGAATAGATAAGTATTATAATGTATAACTGTGGTTACAATTATTCATGATATCGTACAATGCCAGGCATAAAGGAATATTCCATATTATTAGTATTTATTTTTTTTTACAGGTTTTACATTTTGAATTTTGCACTTCATTGCATTGTGTTTTACGGTTAACAGAAATGTCTGTAAAATTAATGGATAATGTCCAGGCAGAAAATTGCCAGTATATTTTCCTTTATTTTTTTCTACACTTTTATAAGTGTAATACATTATACATAAAGGCTTCCCCTTAACTGTCACTCACATTTTTGAACATAGACGTGAAAGTGTACGATCCAAACTTAAATTTTTATAATTCATGAACGAAAACATTTTGTAACATGATATTGATGTACCATTTTCATGGTAATGCAATGTTTGATTTTAAAATGGGTTTCAAAGGATGAATTTTGAGATTTAAAGTTTTCAATTGATATATAATTTCTGATGATTTCTAAAGTGTGATAGAGAAAAAGGCAACAAAGAAGACTTTTTTTGACAAAGGTCAGAACTCCTGTTATGATGTAGATTTTTGAGGTGCACTCTTGTCAAAAATTAATCTATTACTTTTCCTACATAATTTTTTAACAAAAACATTGGTAAAATATCTATTTAGGAGTCTTAGACCTTTCCAACAATATATAGTTTGTCATGATTAGATTATGATTTAATTGTAATATAGTGAAGTAAACTTAGGCGTCCCACAGAGGGGACGGGTGACAGTTAAAGGGTTAAGAAGCGTGTTACCAATTTTTCACTTTAATTTTAGTTTCAAAAATGTTTGTACTTAGTTCCCAAGGCAACATTTCTAATTTCAATTTTAGTTTTTCATCTGATATTTATATTTTATTTCCATTAATCATCAAAATTAAATTTCCAGCAATAAATCCATTACAAACTGTGCAATAGTAATTCCATTTACAGAGAGCAAGAGCCTTGGCTCTGACCTGAATCTCTTTCTACCCAGAATCCTCAGGGCCTTGGTGTATGTGTGTGACTCAGACAATGTGAAGAGACCTCTGATTCATGAGTAGGCAAACACTTACGCACACACGCCTTGTGCTCCCATAAATGTGTACTTATGACACACAAACACACACTGATCTCCAGGATACAGAATGACACCCTTGCTTTCTGAGGACACTTTTGATGTGGGGGAGATGATGGATGTGTCGAGGGCAGCTTCATTTCTGTTGCTCTCCTGTGAGTCACAAACACTTACATGCACACACTCATTTCAGGTCAAACCCTGGGCACAGAAAAAATGAACAGTGCTTAGAGTTTTGATTGAGTTTGGACCATTAAAGGAATACTTCTCTCTTCATCATAGAGATTTTGATGTACATAGTAAAGATAATACAGAGATATATTAGGTTATCTTACAGTGCACATTGTAATCAAATCCATCTGGCAGTGACAGTGGAAAAAAGAGATTGCACGCCATCTAGTGGTAATAAGCTCGCACTGCGACCTTAAATAGTTGCATTACGGACGAGAAGGACGCTCAAAAAAAAAAAAGCGATACATTTTGTAATGAAACAATCACATAAGCAACAAAATACCGATTTACGGCTGATTACTATCTGCTTTAAATAATTCCAACACTTATATTATGTATAAATATTAGCTAATTCTGTAAATGCAGCCATGAATGTCAGTTCCTTACCAATATTCTTGAGCTTATTGGTAATATTGACACAAATAATCACCTTATGACTCCGCATTGAACATTTAGATGTTTAACTCTTTGTCTTATCTTTTTTAAGCCTCGTTGACAAAACAAACATTAAGTTTGTACTGTGCTGTGCTGTATTTCTGTTAGCCTGTTTCACAACAGTCAGGTTCTAAAACACGCAAAAGATTAACAGTTCCTCTAAATGAGGCAAGAACAATATTTAAGAACTGGGTAAAAGTTAAATTTGGTCTACTAGTGTTATGATCTACTACCCACCCTCATGTCACTCTAAAAATAAGTTCGTCCAGGCTGCTCTTCTTAGTAACCGCGGTTGTCAAACGCCACAAAAGGGTCATAAAAGTAGTCCGCTGTGTTTAACGTCTTCTAACGTCATATAATAGCTTTATGTTAGGAACAGGCCTAAATTTAAGCCTTTATCCGCAGAAAATATCAGCTTCTTTCGTTCAGCTTCCGTATATTTAAAACTGGCGCATCACGAGGTGCGCGAGAACCAATTAGTTGTGTGCAGTTTCGTCTGCTCCGCCTACTTCTCCTAATATGGCATCGAGAAGGCTGAACTTCCGACTGCACGCAAACAAACGCCATTACTACAAAATATAATATATTATACTGGGGTTATTTCGGTCACACAACGTTTGACTTGGATGATAGAAATGAAGCTTTCTGAATCTTCGAATCAGTTCAATCGATTTCTTCATAAATTGTTAATTAAAGAGACTCCAACCCAAGCTACTGCAGTACTACACAATACTTTTGGAAAATATAAAAATATTGCCCAATAATCCCCAATTTTTATGTAGAATTTATAAAAACTGATTTTTTTAAATATTATAATTAGTTTGGATATTATGTGGCAGAAGAACCTTCCTTGAACTCTAGTTTATCAAGACAAAAAAAAAAAAAAAAAAAAAAACTAGATCTTTCTTGAGATACGGAGATAATACTCAGATACTCACTTAGTAAATGAGTTAGTCATGTTGGCATTCATTGTTTATATTTATTGAATTTCCAATCACTTTCCCATGGGCATATCTGAGACACTCCACAAAGGTGAAGTCCAGCTTCAATTAATTTGAGTTTCCATTAGGCAACTGGTATTTTAGGAAACATCTGACTAAATAACTAATAAATGTGTAGATGAAATTAAAAGCACTTGGAATTTGCTGCAACAATATCAGATTTTTATCACAAAACACACCAGACGCAAGCCTCCAAGATCAGGTACCCTTTGAAAACTTGCCAATGCCCCAAAATGGGCTACTTGAGTAATTACTGTGATTATTTAATACATGAGACCGTAAACTACAATATGTGATATCTTCACCTTTCACCGAACACAATATGAGTCAACAACATTCACAGATAGACTACATGTGTACTCCAAATGCTGCTAAAAACACATCAAAGAAATATACAAATAATCCACCCACGACCACCCTGAAATTATAGACGAAATATTTATTTAGACAACCAAATGCATGCCAGAAACACCAATTTTACATAACTGACAGCTCCCTTCTCCTCCCTTGTTGTACCAGCCAGCTCCAAATCAGCTCCATCTGGGGCAGGGAGTGAACTGGAGTGCCAACTGGTGGGTATACCTCTGTATTGCATTGAAATGACATTTGTGGGGGGAAACCTGTATGTGTGAAAAGACTATAGACCTATAATACATAAAAAGGGACAGGGTGTGTCTAGATGCAAATGGCAAAAATATTCACATCTCGTACATCTTGCATGGCACAGAAATGACCTCTCGCACGACACACTGACAATAAAAAATAAAGATGCACAAAGGCAGAATTCACATGCAGTGTGTTCTCCACGGCATCTAATCTGACCTAACCCACACATTTTTTTAGGGAGATTCACAGCTAATCATTGGAGATGATTTAATATTTCTTGTTAGTTTTGCACTATGAAGTTATAACAAGACCTAAAAGAAGATAAGCTTAAGAGACCGAAAAAGAAAGAACAAACAAAATGAAGAAAGTAAGCATGTAAAACTCGATTAAAAGGATACAGATTTGCAAACAGCCTCATCTGCAAACGCTCAACAAGAATCTGAGCCTAGAAACAAATAATTGGTCCATCTATGTGAACTGTGGCCCATTGTACACATTTACAACGGAATAGAAAAAAATAATATCAAAAATAAATGCAACCCTTTGAACAATAAACAATAACCAGCAATAAATAATCAAGTGGTGTTCCGCTGTATATATATGTACATATACTAGGGTCACTCAGCATTCAGCCTAACATAGACTGATTTAGCAAATTAATGACGCAAACGTATGAAATATGAGTAATAATAATTTAGAAATACACTACAGACATTATGGAAATATCTAAAAACATCTTTCAAAAGATGTTCTTTCATTTTTACGCAACCGACATTAGGAACGATCATCTAGACCAGTGTTTCCCAACCTTTTTTTAGTCGTGGCACCCTTTGGAAATTTGAACAAACTTGTGGCACCCTACAAAATTAATTTTGTCACAATATTTCCCCTGCTCTCGACAGACGGCACCCCGGTTGGGAAGCACTGATCTAGACGGCTGTAATCTGCAGACAGTTCGACTATGCAACTGGCTTGGAAGAGCTTATTCATTCAACTCATGCACGTTGTATTTGAAAACTAAATTTTGGCAGAAATGGTCACCACAGTTGTTGACTTTTTTTAGTCAGTCAGGCCCACTTGATTATCTGAAACATAATTAACACAAACATCAAAACGCTTCTGAGGATCAGAGGTTAGACAAGCTGTTACTAAGGCATGCCTTATTTTCACCTTTCACCAATTGTGTCCATAATTACTTAGTGTTGTTCTATGTACAGCACAATGCTTGCTCATATATTACAGTCTTTACAAATCTAAGCAACTGGCTTCCAGTTTTCCAGGTGCCCACTTCACTCCACCATGTCTTTTTTCATATTTTGTCGCATCGATAAAAGAGTTTCCTTTGAAATCATCTTCTTTTTCCATTGGCACTATCCCATCGTATTGCAAAAGTTTCTTGGCAAACGACCGTTTTGCGTCCTTTGATGAAAATATCACGTGTATGATGTCGGATCTGTAACACTAGTAGTGTAAAAGGTCTTTGCTGTCACATCACAACAACAAAGTCAATGTGCTTTCCCTGGTGAACAAGAGACGTGAGCAGGATTTCTAGTTGAGTTCACCGTTTTTGAGTTTTGTGCTATCGATTATGGCCGCACTGCACGTTTGTCTGTTGTATGAGTGACTGATGCAGATGTTTACAAGTGTCTATTGAGTGTTCGTGAGTATATCTCACACGCTGCGTGGTGGTCTCTGCTGTTCGTGGGTCCTGCGGTTGCGCCCCCTCTTGTTCTCCTGAAGCTGTTTCCACTTGGCTGTGTTAGGAGGTCCTCTTTGTGGGGTCTGGGTGCCTCTTTTTCCCTGGTTCGGCTGTGCTCTTTGGCTCTCGGGAGCACTTTGGACCTTCTGCGCGCTCTGAGTGTCCGGTTTGATGCTTTGGCTCTCTGTGTTCATGGTACTTCCAGGGATTTGACTTCTTTGCAAACCTGTGGACTTCGGGAGAATCTGAACAGTTGGGTTGTTCGGCACTTTGGGTGTGTTTTGCGCTCTCTGCGTTGGGTTCTGCAAAGTCTGAGCCGTTGTTTGAGGGGTCTTTTCTGTTTTTGTACCCACACCAGCTACAGGGTTGACTTTGGGGGTTTTCTTTCCCTTCGGCTTCTTCTCTCGCTTCCAAACGCGCTCGCAGAACTCGTCCACGCTGTTGAGATCTGGGTGCTCCAGCAGGCTCATGAAATCCCGATACCAGAGTTTGTGTTTGGGGGACGGATCTTTATCGTTGGCGTTTGCCCGGAGCAGCAGCTCGCCCACGCGCTGAGCTGGGATGACCTGGAGATTAATACGCCGCAGTGGTTGAATGAAGCCATGCTCGACGGCATGGCAGTGGTACACTCCTGAATCGGCCTGGGTTAGACTTCTGATCAGCAAACCCTGGCCCGTAAGACTTAGCCTTTCATCAATCACAATCTGACATGGAGAAAAACAGATTGAGTTTATTAACACTTTTTCATAGATTTTGACCTCAAAAATGGAGCCATTAGGTCCCAGACCAGAACCTAAATGCTGAGGTTACATCTGGGGTGCAAAGAAAACTACAACACAGTTGGGGGATTTTCTTACACAGCAGGAAGGCTGAAATCTGATCATTATTACATTAACAAAATGACCATCTGGGGTGAGGTGTAACTTACTTTAGCACTATTTTTTGCCTGATAATATCTGAAAGAGAAACACAGCTGGTGTATGTGTGATGGTGGGTGGTGGGTGTGTGAGGGGGCCATTATGTCATATCCTGTTCAATAAAATACCTTAATTTACTAGTAATAACATTCTCTTTCTCCTTCGTAGAACAGCAACATTTTACTTAATGCTATTTACAATAAAGATGAAGTCTGTTATTTTTTTTATTACTATTAAAATATGTAACTATTTAACTATAACCATTATAATATCTCAGTGTATCTATACAAATGCAAATATTTTTATGATTTTAAAATATTTTAAATCCCTTTTTTGTATACGCAAATTTATTTATTTTAATGTATAAACCTTGATACATTTTCATTGGGATTTTCAAGAAAGCATTTATTTGAAAAGGATTTTTTGAATGTAAAAATCTTTAACTTTTGATCAATCCTTGTTAATACTTGTAAAGTATTAATTTCTTTCAACAAAAAAAAAAAAAAAAAGGACTGACCCCCAACTTTTGAACAGTCATTAGTAAGTTGATTTTCCTGAATAGTGCTTTGAAAACACTACTCTATTTTTTTTTTAAACATCACGGCCAATCCGACACTACAACACTGGTATAACCAATAGTGTGAGTTTGGGACGGTGCTATCTGTTTGGCCAACTAATGGAAGACTGATGTGATTCAATGTGTGTTTGGCAAAGCTAATGACACGGAAATGACATCTGTAAAATTAAGATGAACAATGTTCTATCTGCATTCATAAAAAAATGACTGCTACATTGGATAGATTAGACAGAAGAGCAGTAACCTTTAAATGAATTCAACACAGTGTTAGACTGTTAAAACCGTTAAGACTGCCAACTGATCTAATGCGTGAAGAATCTGGAAACTAACCACAGCAAGAGAACTGAGAAAAACGGTTCAAATATATTTAGTCATTTATATTCTTTGCAATGGATTTTGATCACCATGATCATGTCATTTAAGTGCATGTCTTGTTGACCTATGTTATTTGTTGAGTTTGTGTGTGTGTACCTCGTGTTTACGCTCATCATTGGGTCTCTGTAGCTGCCAGTAGATTAGAGCTCTCTGAGACTTTGGGCTGCATTCCAGAAACATGCTGCTGTTCTCTACACCATACACACTTCTCTCCTCCACACTGCTGTATCCTTCCAGATCATCTAACACACACACAAGTAGGTAATGTTCAGTAATTCCCAGAGTACTGAAACAGAACGGTGTATCAGTGGCGCCTACACAAATGAAAGATTATAATGCATCAATCCTTCTCAAATGTTCAGGCACGCCGATTTCATTTGAATGTATTGCTGATTGTATGTATTAACATTTAGTTATAGGAGGTGCAATTTTAGTAGACCACAACTGCACAATATTCAATACATTAGAAGACGTGTAATGAAGGTCCTTGCTGTATTATAGAAGATCTAAGATTTTAGGCCATTTTTTCATGTATTTTTTCTTGAAGTAAGGTGACTTGCAACAATTGTGCATATCTTCATATTGGTTTAGGCAACTAATTAATTATGTCTGATCAGAAATAAAGGTATGTATGTGAATATCCTTACCATTGTGGTGCAGATCAGAGCACTGAGAAAGAGGATCACCATTTCTGATGTCCTGACGTCTTGTTCTCCTGTTAAATGATAAAAGATTGGATTATAGGAGTGATGTGATGTAGATCTTTGCATCTTCTAAATCTAAAACACTGAAATTGACCCTAGAGTTTAGTATTTGCAACACTACTACCCTCAGGCCACTAGAGGGCACTGTTGTTTTAATCAAACAACTACATTGTACCGTATTGTTATACAGACTTAAGGATGATGTGAGATTTATATGGTAAAATACTTTAGCTTTATAAAACAAGAATTCAACCATTTGTGTAAACAATGTGCCTCTGCGGCACTTTAAACATTGCCCAACAACACCGACTCATCCAGTGGGGAGGCACTATCTGTTTGTCCCCTTAAAGGCAGAAAGGGAAACAATTCCATATGGTTCTGCTAAACTGCACATCACACTTTTAGGTGCACGAAGAAAGGAATGTGCTTAATGTGTTGGTGCCCTAGCTTTAATTCAGAAACATGTTTCATGGAGAGATCTTTCATGATGTTCATTATTGAGTTCCAAACCTCAGAACCTTCATATTTCTTGTAATAACAGCTCTGCACATCATTCTCAGCTAAGAGAGTCATTCAGTCTCCATCAGAGTGTTCACAACAGTTTTGTGCCACTTTAAGAGAGCAGCTTCACCTCTTAAATGCTAACATGGGCCAAGGACTGAGCCAAGGCCGGCACTCTTATCCAGTCACAACTGTATTGAAAGACTGAGAAGATTTCCTGTGCCTGACTGAAAACATTCAGGATCTGGTGTGAAGGATGGTTGTAGCTGAGGTTTAGCTGCAGTATATCTTGGGGAACGATAAGTGAAATATGAAAACTTTCTGAGATTCTCGCGTTTGAAACAGCCTCTTTGTCATTTTTCATGATCTGTCATTCTGTCATCTGTTCTTGTATTTCAGTGCATAACTCTCTGTCTTCTCATTTCTGTAACATGTTTTGCTAAGGCGTGCACACACACACACACACACACGCACACACACACATTCCTTGACTCTGGCTGTCTCGGCACGTGCAGGAGGTGGTAAGGACGTCTGTTTTGCATTTCAGGCACACTGAACATATTTGGAGTGGCGTGGACCATCCTAGTGCTGTGGACCATAAGGGTGTGTCGAGACCAAATCCATGGCCCTCTTCTTCCTCTGTGAAGGTGTAGCTGGCAAAGCATGCAAGTGTGTGTGCGTGTGTGTGTGTGTGTGTGTGTGTGTGCGCGTGCGTGCGTGTGTTTAAATATATTAACAGTGGGTACATGGTGTATTGTGAGCATGTGTTTATAGTGTGTTTAAAAGCAGCCTGTATACTTGGATCCAGGTGTTTGTGATTGTCAATGCACGTGTGTTGAGATGCAGAATTTGTAGTGCACTAAACACCTAAACCATAATTTGTGTTAAAATGTCATTGACTTAAAGGGATAGTTCACCCAAAAAATTAATGTTTTGTCATTCACTCACCTAAACATTTTGAGACAAGTCTCAAGTGTTTTTGTCCATACTATGAAAGTCAATGGGGTCCAAAACAACCCCACTGGACAAAATATTATTCAAAATATTTTATTTTGTGTTCCACAGAAGAAAGAAAACCCTACAGGTTTGGAATGACATGAAGGTGAATAAATAATGTCAGAACTTTTATTTTTATTTTTGGGTGAACTGTCCCTTTTAGAATATGTAATTTCATCCAGATTCCAAAATAAAATCTTACCAAAATGTTAAAGAATAAAAATGTCCTCATCGTGCTTACCTCTTAGCAGTCGGAAAATATCGAGAGCACTCTATCCCGTCCCAGGCACAATATGGATCTCTTGCCAGGCAGCACTCGGCACAGGCCTTCCCGTAGACCTCACAGCGGTGCAGGGGCATCTGGGAAATCCCTAAATCTGACCCGAGGTACAGCTGTTGCTGTTGACAGATGAACATATAAGTCTATTAGGACATGGTTTGCTCTCTGCTAATGGCTGGTGAAGAGTAATATCAAGCAAACGTACTTGTTTAGTGGAGAGCTCCATGGCAGTAATAGGTGTTGGCTCCTAGAAGGGAAAACAGAACAAGTTTAATCTCATTTTAAGATCCGAGGATATTTTTTTTGATGACATGCTGTGGCTGTGCAGACAGATTTATGGGGGAGCAATTAAATGTACTAAGGTGAAAATTATAGTTGGAGGATTTCGATTCCAATAGCAAGCAGAAACGCACAGCTCTCTGGGTAATGAACAGTTGGCACTCATACCCTGAACACCGTCATCTCTTCCAGCACCACTTCCTCCAGATCATGCCAGCTTTCCCTGGGAATGGTCACCACCTTCAGCACAGTTCCTAAATCTGATATAGGATTAGAACTTTTTAATATTCATTATTTGTACAATATTTCTTATTGTAACTTTATAACTAACAGTAATTTTTTCTCTTGTGCTCCAAAAAAAAAATTGTAAAAATTTTATTTTGTGTGAAACTCTTCAAAATAAAGGTTCTAAAAGGAGGTTTTTGAATAATTTTTGGTTTTCCAAAGAATCTTTCTATGAACAGTTCTTTTTTTTTCTTAGTGTGAAGGACATTTTAATATACTAAAAAAACTTTTTCCGTTATAAAAACCTTTTGTTTAATGGAAAGATTACACGGATGGTAAAGGTTCTTCATGGAACCACAGATGACAATAAAAAAGAGTGTGGGGAAACTTCCAAGGGGGGCTCAAGATGACTTAAAATAAGACAAAACAACCACTAAATAGAACAATTAAAAATCAAGATATTCCTTATTTTATTGACCCACCAACAACTGTTTTTTCAACAAAGAACCAGAATTTCCACAGTCTTAGGAAAACCTGGATATATGTGGGAATTTTAAAAGTGTGATTTCCAGAACTGGAAAACTCAAGTAAAAAAATCCATATTCTTATCCAGTAAATCACAAGCAACTGGAAAAGTCATAGGGCCTTCGAATATTGTTGTAGAGGATAAGTCAAAAAGATTGTGAACAGCGGCTTTAAGAAGTGTTAAGAGTGGAGTGATTTCTAAGCTTAAAGCTTTGTTTTGTTTATACAGCAGTTATATTTCTGTACTGACGTGTTGGTTGGTTTTACTAACCTGTGCCGATGAACATGACATCGTACTGGCCATCTTCAGCTTCCACACGATCCACCACCAGCTGAGTGAACTGGTACTCCACGTTCGTGCGCACCACGATGGGCTTCCCACCCATCGGTTGCACGGGGTTATACATGGCTGGGTGCAGGCGTGCAAATGTGATAACATCATCAGGAAGGTCTTTGGTGGAATCAAAGCCTCCGAACGTTTTGCTGGGACACTATGGCAGGTAAAGGAGGGGAGATTAAGGGTTAAACATTCTCACTGATGCACAGGTTCAAGTTTCAGTGTTGCATTTTGAATAATATAGTGTGGTTTTAGTTATTTTAGCATGCATTCAAAGTAATGTAGTAATGTATTTTTGCAAGGATGACTTTTTTAGACAAATTCTGTTAAAAGTGCAGGCAAACAGTTAGGCCAATAAAGAACAGTGTATTACTTTTTGGAAGAATGCTGCAATAAATGCAATGATTTATTTGAATAAAAGTGCACAGATATGAAGCTGTAGTTTGTCAGTTTTGTGTTAATGCCAAATATATTGGCCAGTACTCACTGTGCCAGGACGGGGGTATGGCACTCTGCCCTGGAAGGGAACCCACTGGTAGTTTGGCCCATCCCTGTGGGCATATGGACCTAGAAATACCCTTCGGATGTCTGCCATACTATACATGCATATAGCCGATCCACGGAAGATATTACTGAGGAAAGAAGAGGGGAGAATGGAGAACACAATCATTGATAGAACACAAAATATTTTGACATTTTGTGTACATTTCCAGAAGTGTATACGTCAAAAGTAAATGATCCATTTCAATGCATTTTAATCTAGCAAGAAAATTTTGGGCAGGACACATTTTTTGGACCAGGTATTGACAAAATAGATTGAAAAGTCTTTATATGACAAGTGGTTGGAAGTGAAATGAAAAACAAGAGGGCTTGGCAACGTCATCTGAGTTTTTACATTTTGATGAAAGATCATAAAGACCAATTTAAAATATGCACAAATGTATCACACACAATAAGACCAGAAATGTGTGTTAAGAAAGTTAATTTTGATTTCATGTTTATTTTAATGTGTTAGCTGATGTATAAAATTAGCATTTGTATTGCAGTGTATATGTGTGTATCCAAGCACTTATTCCCCTAAACAGCCATGAGACCAAACAGACTGTGGTGATCACCCATAGCATTTGTAAAATATTAATTAGCGAGAAAATCAATTAACCACAGGGCACATGAATAAACTAATTCCCCATCAATCAGTCAGGGTCCCAGACATAAAAATGCACACACACATACATGTGCTTACACACTCTAACACATACCCAGATAAAGCGAGAGATAAAATACTGATCCATCACCCCAGTGTTCAGGCCTCATTAAGTGGCAATATTAAAAGCAAGTCCCTAGAATGCACTTCTTATTCATCTCAGAAACGGAGCATTTAGAAAACCAATTAAAGCAGTCTAATTCTTTAAAGCCTGTAATTGAATTTTCGAGTGTTGTGTTCCCTGCATACATTAGGAAATCAGTGAGGTGGGAATGCATGAACAGGATGTGCACGGTTTGGACAACCACTGCCTTGGCCTCGCTCGCTTTTTGACAGTGATTAATCGTGATATTTTTGTCCTCTTCCTCATCTCGTGTTTACATGCACACACGCCTCCTTACACACACACACAGTGTGTTCATCCATCATCTTAAAAGTCTTTTCTTCTTTTGAACATTGTTTATCTGCTTTTGTTACTGCCCCTCCCCAACCCTCTGCTCCTCGCCAGCAGGCCCAGAGAAGAGGGTGTCTGGCTGGGGAGTGAGATTCAGGTTACCACCTTAATCATATTTCCTCTGAGCTGTGGTGAGCTGAAGCTGAATGGGGATGCAGGTAAGAGAGGGCAGAGACTAGAATAAGGAGAAAATTCCCATCCAGAGTGCAGCGATGTGAAGCGCCTGTCTGAGTCTAACCAGATTACTGCACTGCAAAGCTTCTAAAGGGCCAAACATATTACACATCACAAAAAAGAGACGAGAAAGAAGGAAGAAAGGATAGGAAAATGATGAAAGAAGAAAGCAAGGAAGAAAGGGATACAGAAAAAGGAAAGAAAAGGAACATAGAAATTACGGAAGGAAGGCAGGAAGAAAGGAAAAAGTCAGAAAAGGAAAAAAAAAACAAAAAAATATAGGTAGGAAGAAGGAAAGGAAAGGAAAAGGGGAAAAAAGAACGGGAAAAAGTCCTAACTTCTTGTAAAATGTTTAATATGGTTAATTGTATGTATTTTAAGTATATGTGCATTACCTGGATGTAGTAAACACAGCGTAGATCACTGGGTTCTTTGGGTCTTTAGCACTCATCAGAAACACATCCTCTGGAAGGTAAATAAAGAAGCATTTGGAGTTATTAAAAGTGGATAAACACACCTTAAACTCTATTGACAGCATCTGGAATGTTGCAATGGAAGTTTATGGACCAGTTGTTGCTAGTGTGCCCCAAAAATGTCCATGTTTTTACAGCTTGAGGGATGAGTAGAAATTATTTCCAGTGGTAACTAACAGCATACCATGGATGCTGTCAACTTAACTATTTCATGCATTTTCCCACAAGATTCCTTTAAGTATGCATTTCTGACTTTATATTAAAAATAATTATGTTCATATAATTATGCTCAGACTAAACGTTCATAGCTTACGCAGTTCATCAAAATGTGTGTCTATGCCACTGAGGCCGGGAACTGAGCAAGTCAGCTTGGCTTTCAAGAAAGTTGTCCATTTGTTTACGAGACTCCTATGTCCACCCATGTCATTCTGGAGAAAATTCAAACAGATTGGCCACATGTTCATTAAAAACTTTATTTTATGTTAATACTGTGTGTCCAAATGCACAAATGCAAAATGTGCATGATTTTTGTTTCTGTACGTGATGATACCTTACACAGTTGTCCTATCCTGGAGATAGTAGCTTTGCCTGTATGTTCACCATCCATGGCGCTCTCTTTGAAGAACAGGAATATCTTGTCATCTTCAGGATTATCGCTCTCCGGGATCAGGTGTATTCCTAGAAACCTGGGGTCTGGAATACACACAATGCATCAGAACTTCAGTTTCCATGGGACTGAAAGAAGATACAGAAGAAATTGAGTTGTTTAAATGAGCATTTTGGGAAGTTCAAACCCACAGAAATGATTGCGCACTTCATTGAATCCCTTTTAGGTATTCCAAAATGAGCCAAGACCTCAATATCGGCAGTTATGGGGGGATCACTCTTACCCAGCCATGACCGCTCTCTCTCTTTCTCTTTCTCTCTCAGAAATGAAATGTAATATGTCCCCCACCCATGTGGGCGGCACACGCATAAAGCGACATGCAGTGCTGCATTACAGCGCAACAGATCCAACAGGATGTGAAGCTTAAACAGCGGAACGAACATTTACCAAAGAGCGACTCCGTTCATGCACTGTGAGTGTGTATGTGCCCGTAGAGACGCCAATGATACAGTGCCGCCCATGTCATTCAATACACTGACTGTTTCCCAAAGAAAAAAATTTGTTCCAGCCTCCCAAACTTTCGAATGTTTGCTCTGTAAAGGCTGATCCTCTTTGAAGTGCAGGAAGAATAACCATCAACAGTCTGAAGATAGCGAGAGGCCCGTGTTTCTATTGATAAGGCTTGATAGAATATCCATGTGACTAATCCTCCAAATGACACTGGGTCTTTTGTGCGAGAGAGACAGCTTTCAGAGCGGGTGAAATGGAACTAACGTCCAATGTATCCGTGGTAACAGATGGCCAGGATTAAGGTGAGATGAGCGTTTTCAAAAGCACCTTTCCTCGCGAATATAGGAGGGTATTGATGGTGTGGCCGCTGACCCTGTGTGAGGACTGAAATGAGAGCCACTCGCAGGAACAGCTGAGACAGGATTAACTTCATGGGAAAATACTGACCGACTCTCCTATCTTGATATTGACCTTTTGTGTTCCATAAGTCTGCAAAAATGCAAGCGGGATGTTAGAGGAAACACTCAACACCCTAACCGAGCTAATCTCTCCTGCAGAGAGTCACAAAGAGGCTCTTTCTTTCTCTCACAGATAAGGGCACATACACACTCACATGTGCACATAAACTTGTGCACACAAAAGAAAACCCATACATTTACATTTATTTCACACATTTGCTCTTGGCAGACACATGCTTAGCAAAGTAACATATACTGTGTGACGATTTCAGCAGGCAGCTTTAGGGATAGAAATTGAGTGCTAGGATGAAAATCATAAACAGTCTATAAAAACACATGGACAAACACAAATATGCAAGCACATGTATACATAGTGTCTTTCTAAACTCCTCAAAAATACAAACTGAGACAATATTTAAACTAGGAGTGGGCTGTCACAGTTGGGCTGATGGGCTGATGACTAATAACTCATATAGCAGTATGGAGTAGAAGCAGAATTAACTGTTGTGCATCTCCAAGCAACACACAATAGCGGTATTTCACTGCTGAATGAATGATTCAATCACTTTTCATAAAGGCAGTCACTTAAATTGTTCCTGAATAAATCAGTGCTTCTGAACAAATTGGTTGAATAAATGACTCATTTTTTTTCAATAAGTGACTCACTCATAAAGACAGTCACTTGATTAATTCCTGATCTGATCCAAATTTTTTAACAGATCCATTTGACTGAATGATTTAATCACCTGCTCACAAAGACAGTCACTTGATTCGTTCCTAAATAAATCATAATTGTTTAAAAAATTAGTTGAATGATTCAGTGACTCACTCATAACGACTCACTCATTGAGCAAATCAGGTGAATGAATGATTCAGTGACTCACTCAGAGAGTCATTTGATTTATATTATGGTGTGTATTTATATCTCAATGTAAACGCTTTGCCAAAAACCCACAAAAACAGTTTACATATTCAATAACCAAGCCCCAAGTTATTCAGAATACAGCATTTTTACCATTCAGCCATCTAGAATCATGCTGCTCAGTTCTGATTGGATGATGTGACCCAAGTGTTCGGAAAATGGCGAAGTCTCGTCCCATGAAGTCTGCTGATGTTCCAGAATACAGTTCTCCATCTGACAAATAAATATGAGCATGAAATCTCCAATCAGATCACCGTTAATACTGATTCTAAATCTTTAAAAACAAAACAACACCATCTCTGACTAACTCACCAATCAGGAGGAATGAGGACTGCATATTTGGATCATAGGGACTTTTCCCACGTCCATTCTCAAAGTAGTTGGCATCCAGTCTGAAGATGTTGTCCTGAGGAAAGGGATAATGAATTAACCAACCACAGCAAGGCATGAATAGTAAATGGATGAGGTAATGGAGAGGTGAATGTCAAAAAGTGCCATTAGGATCTTGTTCAAGTGTCTCTCAATATTCAACAAGTAGCCAAAAAGATGCTGTTTTTGAAGAAAAACATTCATAAAACCTACTTTAGATTTGGATCTCTAAACTCGCAGCAAAACAACAGCACTCAAGTTATCTTCTATTATGTTCAGTGGGCTCAAGCCATGATTCATTTGCGTGGATCAAATCATGAAATTCACTGACATTTTTCCACTATGTAAAGGCCATCTCATTTCCCACAGTTGAGGCACTTCTAAATAACACACTCGCTGCATTGTGACGCTCTCATTTTCTACTTCACTGGGCCAAAATTGTTAACAGGGTAGACGTTAGCAGAAGATAGCCACCATTCATTTCCTTTTCTTTCCTTTAAACCTTTTGGTGAATGTGCCTTTGAGATATGTAAGCGCATGAGTGCCTGAGTATGTTTTAGTGCCATTGCTTTCCTGAAACTGGACTAAAATAATTAATTTGATCAATTATTGATGTCAAGATTGTGTGTGTGTGTGTTGTGTACCTCTGCTCGCTTGCCTATCTCCAGGTAAGAACAGATAGGATGGAAAGCTCCGGTGCCACATATGTAAATATGCGTCTGGTTATACGGCTGCAGCACACGCACAAAGTTTGAGCATTCTTTCTGAAAAAGACATAACATAAAAAAAATCTGTTAGCCAATCAGATAATATAAAACATGCCTATTAAAAAGATACTGTATAATATACAACATTAGATGAAAATTAGAGAAAAAAATATTATTATATTTTTAATAATAAAATTAATTAATAATCATATTTAAAAAGCCTATATTTAGTGACCAGAACTTAGATATCGAACATTAAGCAACCACCCAGAACACCTTATCAACCTACTTTTGCATAAGCAAGAACCACACAAAATTTCTTGTAAAAATAGTTAGTAAATATCATAATTTCTCACTTTCAGACTCTTTAGTTCTGTATAACGCCTCTAATGCAGTTATGTTATTTTTATAATTCATGATTAAATACTGCACATACATTTTGAGAACACATCTAAATCGACACAAGATCTGTAATAAATAAGTAAATAAGACATTTAAATTCTATGTAAGCCTAATATTTAAGCTTTTAGTGTCATTAAAATGCCTTTGAGTTCCTGCCGGTTGAGTGATGACGAACCCACCTGTTTTATCCATCTCAATATCCTGTCAGCCAACTCTCATTAGCACTGAAAGTGTGTGTGTGTGTGTGTGTGTGTGTGTGTGTCTGGTTTTGATGAAAGGTAAATGTATAGCACATGTCTTAAGGCCATCTGAATGAGTTGGTGAGAGCTGATGAGTGAATTGTTTCATGTGAATGAATGCTCTTTAACTCCCTTTCAATTGCAAGATATGCGAGGACCGGGTTTAACAATAATAAACCGACACATTATAAACACACTGCATGAACAAACACACACCTATCCACAGCTATTCAGAAAATAAAGCAGGTCCATCTGTGTAAACACTGATGGTCTTGGCCCATGTGTGCCGTCTGAATGCGAGTTATCATTTAAGAGCACAGGAAAGGGTGTTGCCTTCTCCGTGTGTGTTTTCACCACAAAAAGACACATACACACTCTTATACACTCATGTATGTGTGTGTGAAGAAAGCTAAACAGAAGAATAGATACATGCAGGCCTGTTTCCCTCGATTACATCCAGTTCAGTTTAGTTTGTACAAGCTATTCAAAGCAGATAATAAATGCTTGCATAGGGCTGACATTTTCTGGCAACATGTTTGGTTTTCTTATAAATCCAATGACCGCAATCACCTGCAACAGCCAATCAGATCACTTCCTCACACATATGTGTGACCCATCTTGGTCAACCTACACAAAGGCACTTTAGTGTGCTGAAGTAATGGCTTTTCCAAGCTAAAGGAAATGTGTGTATTCCTAACATAATCATTCCACGTGTGCTATAAAATTCATTCCCTCCTGCACCAGGCAAAATGTTTTAAATTTCCCATGGCCGTTATTGTTTTTAAGGTCCTTGCCTGCTCCGATAGAGCCAAGCGTGGTGTTCACATGAGAGAGAGGTGGCTGAACTGGCACTCTTTGGCGTTTACTATGTATACAAACCTCAAGTTGTAATAACTGGGTGGTGTACTGTAATTACAGTGTAACTACTGTGTAATTAGACACATATAACCCTTCTTTTTTATCTTCAAGGTCCATAAAGAAGCGGCCAAAGCTGCGAAGCAGAAAAGTGAGTGTACCGTCATAAGAGTGAGAGATATATGATACCCTTTCAGATAAGATAAGCAAAGCATGTTGGGGATTACGATTTAGACACATCTGTAATTATGTACAATACTAACAACACAGTAGTGACTAATTTCATTCACACACGAGTGAAGTCATGAAAAGATAATAACAGTATAGAGCTTGTCAATGTCAAAACTAATGCACAGTTTTTAAAAAGTGCAGCCACTGTGGATTTGCCCGCATCTGGCAAATTTAAAATATTACCAGGACTTTACATGATTAGTTAACATAAATTCAATTAAAATATTCAGAACTTTACTGTAACATCAATGCAACCTATTTTAAATTCTTTATAACAGAACAGATTATTTTAAAAATAGCCATGGTGTACAGTGTCATTAGATGATGAAAAAGCTTCATTATAGTGATTTGTGTTCCCGTGGACTGGGTCCTTTTTGCCTTTTAATTAATCTTCTCACAGCCAGCGTCATTGGCTGAAGTGTGTTACATGAAAAAAAAAGATAACTTCAGTGAATGACTATTAAGATACAACAACAACTAAACAATAACTACAGATTAAAAACATTATAAAAATGTTGCAAAACAAGTAACTTAAAGTGTCAAAAATGTGAATGCAGCAGCAAAGCAAATCAGCAAATAAAAAAACTAGATAGATAAGATAGATAGATAGATAGATAGATAGATAGACAGATAGACAGATAGATAGATAGATAGATAGATAGATGCTGAAGTGCTATAATTATGGGAAAGTGCCAATATTTGGACATCACACTATTACAGTTGATTTATTAAACATACATATGATATTTAAAAGGGACCATTAACACAGCTAATAACTACACTTCACTGCACAATGTTGTTATACAGTATACAGTTGTCAAAACTACTGTGAAAGTACAGCAACTAGTAGCCAGGAAAATACTGTAAATTAACACTAAACATTTTTTAACAGTGTTTCACTGTTATAAGTATTTATAAAGTGAAGTGAATCTCATCTTTAGATAGCTAGTCACACCAAACAACACAACCTCACTATAACTCCTTGTAAATTATGTATTTAAATATATAGTGTTGAGACTTGAATGAACACAGACATGAAGTGTGCTGCTATTTAACCCTCATCGCATGAACCACCAAGAGTTTCAAATGAACAGCGAGGCAGTTGTACCAGCTGTCGTTCTGGGCTTGTCTCTGCCTCGGCTGGCCAAGGCAAATGTGAGAATGAAGAGATTTATGGTTGCAGAGAGGGAAATGCGCTGGTAATACCCTAATCACACATTCAAGCTCCCTCGCTAGCAGCTTTCAACAACTGAACAAACATTTTCACAGCACGCAAACACCATTATTCTGAACTGGTGAATTTGTGTGTATGTAACGCCAAATAAACCCTTCACAGCCAGTGCCAAAAGCTATGGTTCTTTCACGATGCATGTGGTAAACATGTGATTCCAGAACCTCATTGCAATATCAGGTGACTTTATTTAAGGTTGTACGTCTCAGAAGTAGGTCTGGTGAGTTATCTGTAATAACCCTGCTCCCCTTCTGCCCCCCATCTCAGCGGGAACCCAGCCGTGAAATTACCATCAGATACAACACACACACACACACACATGTACAGAGGGAGCGAGAGCCGGGTTGATAAATAAACCATTTCTGTTTTACAGAAGGGCCAAGGGTTGCTGCTGGATCTAAACACAGAATATAAACTCTCAAGAGGAACAGAAGAGCGCATGCAGCAGCAAAACTCCATCGCTAACGGCAACCGTGATCAATCAAGCCAAAGTGCACACGCCTGGGCCTGAGTAATGCAGGTCACACATACACATATAGTAAAGGTTCTTTAATGAACACTTTTCTTATCATGAATCATTTTTAATGTTCATGGTGCTTTTGAAAACCATCAAGAACCATGTTAATGGTGCTTTAGGGATTAAAAAAGTTAGAAGTGTAGAAACAATTTTCACTATTTTCAACGCTAGTGAAATGGCAAGTAACTCATTGAATTAAACAGTACATTTTGAAGTAGAAAAAATTTAATAGTATTTTTTGTAAAACATTCCTTAATAATATTTGAAAAAAAAAATCATTTTTTACAGTGGGCCCAGATGAAATCTGCAAACTTTTCAGCCATTTTTTTCTGCTGATTTTGGTAAATTCAGGGGAATATTTTTTCCATCAACAGAACTGAATGAATATGTATTTACATATTTGAATATTTATTTATACACTACCATTCAACTGTTTGTCAGCAAGGTTTTTTAAATTTTGTTTTGAAAAAAAAAAAAAAAAAGTCTCTCACCAAGGCTACATTTAATTCAATAAAAATACAGTAAAACCAGTAATATTATTAAATATTATCACAATTAAATAAAACTGTTCTCTATTTTAATATATTTTAAAATTTAATTTATGTCATGGTAAAGCTACATTTTCACATGAACCTACCATTCTAATACTTAGATTTGGTGCTCAAGTAACATTTATTATTATTATTATTATTATTGTTATCATCATCAATGTTAAACAGTTGTGTTGGTTAATATTTGTGTGGAAACCATAATTTTCAAGATTCTTTTATGAACAGAAAGTTCTAAAGAAATTGAAATAGAAGACTGAAACAGAATATTTTTTTATAAGTGAAAAAGTCTTTACTGTCACTTCTGATCAGTCTGAATTTTATGTGTCCTTTCTGAATAAAAGTATTAATTTCTTTCAAAAGAAAGACCCCAAACCTTTGCATGGCAGTGTAGATTTGAATATTTCGGAAGTGAGTCACATACCCTAAATATACCCAAAAGATCACTGTAGTTTGATGTAGTTTTGATTTAAAAGGAAGTTTACTTGTCGCCCCACACTTACCCCAAGGTCTTTTCCAGCCCACTTGCATTCATCGCGTTTGGAAGGTGTGGCGGGCCAGGCGATCTATAAAACAAGGAAAGAGAGAAGGTGTGAGAATGTGCACAGAGCGAACACAATGAACTGCAAATGACTGACTAAGGCGCTCGGCATGAAACCTGGCTGTAAAATAATCAACGACTGCTGCCTGCCGTCCTTCTGCCACCTCCATCTGTGACGACGACGAAGACAGAGGATAAAAACAACCATTCGTCTTATCCCGGGAGCATGAGAGACAATCGCACACGCACACACACACACACACACACACACACACACACACACACACACACACACACACACACCCACAC